TCGAATTCAATGATGGTGATTTAGGACTAAAAATATAGAAAAAATAGATCATATAAAAAGATGATAATTAAAATACCTAGGTGATGTAGATATTGATGATGATTCTTTGACACATTTGTGAGAATTTAGTGATTTGGTTGATCCATATGTAAATGCATAAGTTGCATAACAAGATCGACACGTTGCAAAATTTTTAATAACAATATGACGATTATTTTCATTTTTTACAACAGGAAGAGCAAATCGATTCCAACAGGGAGATGGTTTTGCATGATTCACTTTGTGATTGTCGACAAGCACGTATTTTTCTGGTTGTTTTTTTAACAATATTTTTATATTTGATGGATTATATTTAACATTACTCGATGAGTATTGATCAAGAGATGAAGAAATGATTGAAAATGAACGATCAGTATTCGAAGTTGTACTATCAATTGATTTATCAAGAGATAAATCAGGTAATCCGATCATAGTAATTGACAAAAAAAATTCAAATATTAATTCTAAATATAAAATAAGTATTAGTCCAGTTATTCACTTAATATAAATTAATAGTGGAAACTGTGCACGATGGACGATAAAGATAGAAATAAATAAATAGCAGACAAGCTTCTACATAATAGGATAAAAGCAATGAACCAATCAATATGTACTTTGTACTATATATACCTACACTAACGACATCTCTTCATAAGTTTGACGATCCTTCATCACACCCGAAAAAAAGTTTACTTGCCTGAGACCCCTATCATTTTAAAAATTTGTTCCCCGTCTCGCCCATCCGTGCGCCAGAAAATACTCGTGCCCCGTTAATCCGGCATTTAATTAAATTTTTCTTCCCCGTCCGCCCGTCGCCACGCGGCCCCGCGGAACCCGCTGGATGAGCCCCGTGGACCGCACATCTCTGGTTTAAACTGTAATAGAACTCGTAAAAAATGAAACTCTGTACAGCAATCGCCTTGTACATATTGTTGGACCACTCAATGAGGTGATAAAAAATCTCACCCATAATTTTTCATTCTCGGAACTTTATGAAATCGCAGCCTTAAGCAGTGTCCTGCAATGCAATATACGAATTATATATCCGAGAATTGATTTTCGAGTCGATCTAGACATCATGAATAGTACTTTTCAGCATATTCAATCCAGTATTTCATCTAAAACAATTTATATATTCTGGTCCCATCCTCAAAATGAAACCGAAGCACGTAGAAGTAATACTGGTAATTGGACACCTAATCATTTCGTACCACTTTTACTTCCGTCGAGCTAATCTCAGAATCAAAATAGCCTGACTGAACCTAAAGCCGCCGGTTCAGGCTTGATAAGTTTAATCTTTTAGTGCAGAGCTTTTTACAGAAAAAAATACACTTTCACTTACAGATGTCAACTAAATCAACAACGAAGAATAACGTATTAACTCAAGTTTGCATTCCTGAATTTAATGCGGAGGATGACGAAGGTCAACAATTTCAAATGTCATCGACGTATTCCACGATAAACCAGGAAGCCACAACAACTCCTCGGACTAAACGAAGACTACAAGCAAGTGAGACTCACACGGACACGGAGAACACGAATATTGACGAGAGATGACTACAAGTTCGCCAAAGGATGGCTGCTAAACGAGCTCAATCTACACCGGAGGAAGCTGAAAGACAGCGGATGCTTGTAATGGAAAGAAGTGCCGTCAGAAGAGCTGCCTTTACAACAGAACAGGCTGAACGAGAGCGTACCCTTGTGCAAGAAAGAAGTGCAGCTAGACGAGCTGCCTTAACACCACAACAAGTTGATCGTGAACGTACTGTGGCCCGAGACAGAAGCTCAGCTAGAAGAGCTACTTTAAAATTGAAAGAAATCGAAAAACAACGAGAGCAAGCTCGTGAGAAAGTTGCAGCATGGAGAGCTACTCTTACACCGAAAGAAATCCAGCTACAACAAACAGTTGCTACTGAACGAACTAGAAGTAAACGAGCTACAACGTTGCCAAACAAAGCTGAAGAACAGCGCGTGGTAGCTCGCAAAAGAAGTACCGCAAGACGAGCTCCTTACACACCTGATGAACTCCAACGTCTGCGCATCTGTTCGTCAGAGAAAGCACCTTCGAAAAAGTGGCAAGCACCAACAAGAAAGGCTGAAAACAAAACTATAAGAAAGTAAAGACTTTGAATGGCCAAAATATATTGATATTGAACGTAAGAAAAACTGCCTAAAGAACTTTATTCAACATATGTCGATGAGTTCTCTGCAAGAAGGTGTTTGCGAGATTTGTAACGCTCATTGCTATAAACGTGATCTCCGCCACATACCATTCACTAAAATACCGTCTATTGAATTACTGAAAGTACCCGATGATTTTTATGGCATAATTCCGGAAATCCAGAAAACGCACCCATGCCAGTTACATAATAAGCTTACCATGAGTGAAGACCTTGCCATGGCTTTGATTCAGACAGAAAAAGCAGGAAGTTGTTCTTGCTAATACGTAAACTGACACCCCATGCCCTTAAAATCGGTAAGAAATTGACGATTAATTGTGATTTATCAAAACGATAATCGTGCGCTAAATCGCGATAAAATCACCGATTTTTCTCGATTATTTCCCTGATTTTGGCGATAAATCATGACTTCATAGCCTGTTTTAACCCTCTATTCGTTGATATTCTATATGATTTCACAAATATGCATACCTAGTTTTTCTTCTCATATTCGAAACTTTTTATTACTTATTTAATTTGGCAAATATTTCTATTTAAAACTTGAACGCTAACATTATTTTGCACAGGTTTATTACGTAATGAAAACAAAAATTACACCGCGCTATAAATTCTTTGTATAATTAGGCGAAACCATCTTTGAAAAAAATTAATATTAAAACGTTCATATGTAGTAACTGTAGTTTATATTGAATTTTTCTTAAGATAGATTCTCTCCATAGTTTGTTTGTTTATTATAAATTCAAAATCTAAAAAAAAAAGGAATACAAATAAAAGTTCTAAACAACAACTATTGAATTACATAGTATACATGAACAAATTCTAAAAAAATACTTTAGGTAGGGTATTACTAATTTATGCTAACACCACAAACACCCAACTTTGTAAAAACGCATATGGGTCATCTTCACTAACACCCACAACTTGGAGAGTTATGTGCACAAACACCCACTTTGTCCGATTCCTAGAAAAAATAAACCGTCAACAAAGACCAAAAAATGACCCCCTTCAACACTAACACCCAAAATTTCACTTATAGCCCACATAAACACTTCAAGTTGTATTCACTAACACCCACAGAACTCAATAATCTATATTCTGACCCGAATAAGTGCTATCCCCGAATAACTTTTTCTGATAAACTTTTCTCTGGAAACACATCATACCAGTCCAAAAGTCCTTATATTGATCCACTAACACCCAAAATCTCACTTATAGTTCACACAAGCACCCCAAGTTGTATTCACTAACACCGACAGATCTCTATAATCTACATTTTGATACGAATATGTACTATCTTCGAAAAACTTTTCTTCAGAAAATTTTCTCAGGATACATGCAACACGGCCTAAAAAATAGGTGTAGGCACATACTAACACCTGAAATCTTCTTTAAAATCCACACAAACACCCCAATTTATCTTGACAAACACCCAAAGAACTCTATAATCTACATTCTAATACAAATATGTGCAACCCCGAAAAACTTTTCAGGAGATTTTTTCTCAAATAAGAAGCAGGATGCATTCATATACGCGTAAAATAAGTTAAAATACGTGAAAACCAGAAAAAAAAACATTAAAGTATTTGGGAATATTGATTTAGATCATATAAACAATTTAAAAGATTCGAATAAAATTTGATAACAGCGTGAGAAAACTATAATTCAATTTCTGAGATATATTATTCGAAATATCTTAGTATGTATTTTACTCAAGAAACACTGTACAACGATGAAAAAGATTCTTAAATAGATAATGAAAATTCGAGAACAATTGTTCTAAAATCAGACCAGCAGTTCATTTGTGTTATACAACATTAATAAAATATATAATTTTGTTTTCATGTACAGTTCCAAAGAATTGAAAGTACTTACATGTGAAGTTCTTCCACCAAAATAGCGAAAGAGAAAAAGTGAAAGACTTCAGTATATTCAACATAATAAAAATTGATACAATAGTACTATCTCATATGCAATCTTTATATTGATCATGGATATTTATCAACAATCATTATTATCAACTACAAATTATTCGAAAAGCAAAATTATTTCAAAGGTAAGTGGTAGTTCTTTTCGATTTCACTGATTATTATTTGCTATTGGTTAAAGCGATTAAAAGTATGCGGAAGTTCCATATGTGAAGATATTGGTATATAGATGCGAGAATAGGTACTAAACGTTGTCACACTGATAGTAAAAGTTATAAAATTAGTAAAGCTGTTTATAATAACTATTTCTTTTTTCGTGTTCTTGTTGATGATCCACGAACATTTGATCGACCTGGTTTCCTTCCTGCCTTAGGAGAAGTATTGAGACTACGTCTCGGTTTCGTAGATGCAGGGACATAATTGTAGTAATTTTCAATAATTTCTTTGCGTTCCTCTATTGTTTTAGCTGACCATATATGTGAATCGGTGACAAATCTAAATATACTCGAACAATGCCTTATGATGATGACAACGAATGCTTACCTGGAATAGGGAGGTAGTATTTCTAAGTCCCCAGAATCATGCAGAGCCCTGATGGACTCATTCTTTTGAGTTGCTATTAGATTTCCAAGAATATCAATGACTTCGGATAAAGATCGTAGCTCCCAGTTGGTTTGAATTTTAAAAGCATGATTCATAGATTCAATATCATTATTATAAAAGAGACGAGAAGCACCATGTCTATCTAGAAAATTGATTGGTATACGAATCGCAGCTATTAAATGATTACGAAAGACGTTCGCTTGATATTGATTAAACCATTGAAAAAAATCAGTAGCACCATTAACACGAGTTTCATCACGTCTCTGGATTGTTCTCCAATATTCGCATAGCTCATTTAGTCTGTCTTGAAATTCTTCCTCTATCTCTGACTGAATTAGAGATTCAGAAGAATCAAATATGAGTTCTAGTATGCCTTGACGTTCGTCTAGTGTCGTACGACTTTTTATCAGTTGTCTTTCAATATTCTGACGCATATGTCGCGTACAATAAAGATGAGTCGAATCCGGAAAGACACTACCCACTGCCTTTTGAATTGCTTTTGCTCCATCACTTCCAATCACGAGTGTGCTACAATCGTTTAGTTCACGACGTACATATTCCAACACCTCCTGATACGATTGTGCATCATCTCGATAATGAATCATTATTGGACCAATAAAAATCGGTGCCTTCTTGGTTTTGCGGTATTGAACAGCTGTATTTCGGAATGCGATTGGCGTGACAAAAAAGCGACCAAGATTAAATGTCGTGTCGATACCTATTCACATTCATAATAGTCTGCTATTAAAAAAGTAAAAATGAATCTTACATAAGACTGATGGTTGCATCTGATCTGAAGAAGTGATACAACACCGTTTTAATTCTTTAATCATATGAGGTTGAGACAGCACCAAGACTGGCGCTTCCTCGCGACTCATCGAAAAACGCGCGATTACACTACTAGACTTTTCTAGGTTTCTCATAATGGCTAGATATTCTTCAACATTTGATTCACGTTTTTGCCGAGCATTATACACCTGTTTACGATCACGAACTTTCGTTAACGATGGTAACGAAGCTTCTTCAACATTACTAATTGATGCATTGTAGATGGTTGAAGGTTTAAGAAATCGTGGTTGCAACTAGTTATAAAAAAGAAACTTGCCTAGGTTTTTTTCAGTGTTTAACTTACTTTAATCTGAGTAAGAACGGAAGGTAAGGTGGTAGTAAAGGGGCGATCGAATTTTTTCGCATTGCCATGCGGTTTTAATCGGAGATTTTCGATACCATCTTCGTTGGCAACCACGTACTGTAAAAAGATAGGAAGATTTAGTTTGCTAGAATCGTCTTCCGTCAACATTTGGCTGGGGTAAGTTATCATTCGACGCAGCGATGGGTTTGTTGCGTTCGTCGTATAATATCTATTGACAGAAACCTACTATTTAGCACTGTAATACACAGATAGAAATTTCCGCTCACCGATGCATTGTAATAACTTGATTCGAATTTACTGGACATGATATATATCGATTTCCAGCCCTCTCGTTATAGAAAGGTTTTCCTGTGGTGTCATAACGTACGATCTGATATTTATCTGGTTCTTTAAGCGTAAACACAGTTTTTACCGATCTCGTTTGCGTCCATATTCCATTACCATCTTTTCCAATCGATAATCGGTTTTCTGCAGTTAATCTTACGGTGAACATAGACGTGCGCGTTACCATCTTTGGTGGCTGTTCGAATACTTTCCCGTCTTTAACAGAATCAATCATATATTGAATAATTGCAGGTGCTTCCAGAAAAACTTGCCTTTTGTTAAACAACGAGACACGACTTTTTGGTTCAGCATCATTTTCTTTTTCATCCTCAATTTGATTTGTATACCTTATTGTTGATTTACTTGTACGTAAATCTGTAGGTTGTAGTACTGTAGTTGACTCAGCAGACGCAACGTCATCGTCGACAACCTCAAAAGAAGTTGTAGTTTCGAGTGCGGAGCTTGACTGAACAGTAGAGAGCAGGGGTGTGAAATGATTGGAGCGCCAGATTCGATCCGCCTCTTTTTCAGGACCTGACCACATTATACGAAGTGGCATTTCTGGCGATGATAACTGTTGGTTTCGCGGAACAAAAATTGTGTTTAACACTTCGCAGTATTCGTCGTTGTCATTTACACTAGGATATATAGACTCTATCGGTCGTCCGATTACCGTAGACAACGCTGCGAATGTTAGCACACCAGTATATTGTTGGTTATTAATAATTCGTAACACATGATCTTGAACAGATTCATCATCGACGAGATCAAGACCCATTTCAGTTTTTATAGTTTCATAGTGTTGTTGATGTAGACACAATTCATTTATACAGCGAGCGCGAAGCTCATCTATGGTCATGGTTGGATAGAATGTACACAACGTATGAAATAAACAGTCACCATCACCAGCCACTTCTACAGGAATCATTTCATTCGTGGAAATCATTGTGTGTTCTTCAAGAAATTCTTTCGCGTGTTCATCAACAGTATGTACACTTTGATCAAACGACATTACGGGAATGTCAGGAACAACATAATGATCAACGGCGTCGTGCATATCAATACATGTGGCTTGTAACCCAAAAAAATCATTACTTTCATCTTTGAATCTTGTCAGAAGCAGAAGATAAAAGTCTTCGCGAGTTTCAGCCTTGCAAGTATCGCATAATATACAATTTGAGCGAAGACGGCATATTGCACAAGTTGTTCTAGAAGCTTGTTCTGATGATGCGATCATTTTTGTTAACATTGTGGTTGTGATTATTAACAAGCGAAAAAAAAATACTTTTTTCTTTTCGCTCTTTTCTTCTTCTCTTTGTATCTCTACCAACGTGTCAGATAAATGCTTTTTGTGAAGAATATAAAATAGTTATGCATTAGTTATGTCGGTGCTTATTTAATGGTACTATGTTCTTATCATCATAGCTACTATGGCAAAAAGAACAGTAATACAAACATCACTTTATTATAATGAAAACGTTACAGATTATATAGCTATTCATCCCGAAGATAATATGTTTTCAAAAGCGAAACGCGTGGAAATTTGCAACCCATATGATGTCGTCGAATTTGAAGTTATTCTACATTCAACTGTTACACTAGGTGCAATAGCACTGAATCGTTTTCAACGTAAGAAATATCATTTAAAGAAGTACCACAGCTATTTCGTACGCTGTTGTTCATCTGAAAAATCTTCACGTACACTATTCGATATAATTAACGAACGATTCGATTTTAAAACAAAGATTGGTGGAATGGAAAGTGTGTTAGAAGAAATAGCTGGTGATGTCTTGCTTAGTCGACTTTATCCTCAAAGTTTTATTAGTAAAACACAAATCAATAAACCACGAGGCTTTCTTTTACACGGACGTCCTGGTACTGGTAAAACTTTACTTGCTCGAACAATATGTGACATATTAGAAGTGACTCCAAAAGTCATACGTGGTCCAGAAATATTTTCATGCATGCTTGGCGAATCGGAAAAGAAAATCAGAGAATTATTCGACGATGCTCGTCGTGATCAAAAAGTTTACGGAGCAAATAGCAAATTACATGTTATTATATTCGATGAAATCGACGCAATATGCAAAAATCGAGCACATAGTGGTTTAGTACGTGACACCGTGCATAATAATGTTACAGCTCAACTGCTTGCTGAAATTGATGGAATGGTTTACCTGAACAACATCCTTTTAATGGGCACAACAAATTTCCTCGAGGAAATAGATCCAGCACTTCTTCGTCCCGGACTCATTGAGACAGTGATTGAAATCAAGTTACCAGATGCGACTGCTCCTTCTCAAATATTCGATATCTATACGAAGGCACTTCTTCGCAATGGAGCTCTTAATCAAGACGTGAATACTAACAATATCATCCAACGTACCGAAGGAATGACCGGCTCTCATGTGGAAAGACTTGTGCGAATGGCGACTCATGCTGCTATGAAACGAGACATTATCGAACGAAATAAGTTTGATGTTACTGAAGAAGAAGGGGACACTCTAGAAGTTTGTAATCGAGATTTTTTGGAAGCTCTATCAAAACTGCAACCGTAATTATTAAATCAATAAACAAGAATATAACAAAATAAAGACCATCACAATGCACCGATTTTCTTCATTATTTTTTTTTTTATTATGCGAGAAACTGTGACCTAGTGGTCCTATCAGTACATGTGTTTATAGAAAATAAAACAATAGTGAAATCAAAGAATAGGATGACGATAACAAACAGAGGAAGAGAAGAAAAACACACAAGAATCACAAAGAAAAGATAAAGAGTGAAGAAAAACAATATTAAGTGATTGGTCACCTTCTCTTCCGATACCGTACACCATTATCCCAATGACAACGGCGTGCCGGGGGAAGGAATCGAACCTTCTGATCTCTGAACTCACAATGGAGGTGTGTGTATTGTTGAGCGAAAAAGTGGCACATGTTGGGGTCAAATGAAAGCTCTCAACGCCAAACTAACAAGGTTAAAATATTAGCTGCTGTTGGCTTGCCTAGAGGGAGATATTTAACTTTTAAGTGTAGGTGTAAAAATGAATCAGGAAAGGTTTTCTCCACTATTATAAGAACAAAACATAGTGTTGTTCGGGCCGATTAGGGGGTTTGTAGGGACCCTCTTTCATATGGCCCGAACAACACAATGTTCTGTCCTTACAATAGTAGAGTGAATTTTTCGTGTAGGTCATGGAAACGGCATTTTCTATCAATCACTAGAAAAATTCACTCCGCTATTATAAGGACAAAACATAGTGTTGTTC